CCCCCCCCCCCCCCCCCCCCCCCCCCCCCCCCCCCCCCCCCCCTCCACCTGTTATTCTCCGAGAACAACTGAGAGAGAGGGAAAAGAAACAGGCCCACTCATCCCATTGAAGGTCATTCTGCTGACACCGCCTAGTGCGAAAAGTTAGTAAATTTGTATTGCCTTTATAGACTGAATCGCTACATGTTTTGTGTTATAGGTGGTCCACGAACACATAAAGATTGAGAACCTCTGACATAGAGGAATGCTTTCCTTTAGAATAAATCTCTGCTTGCCGGAGTCAAGGCTACTGGCGGCATTCCACTTCTTCGAAAAAAACCCAAAAATCGGAGGGGAAACTCTCGCCAAAGCAACTTTTATATGCGGAACTCTCATCGATTCATTACGAGGCAAGCAACTGCGCACGTGTCGACCAGAAAAAGCAGAAAACGCTTCTCTATCTACATACGAGTATACGAGGTATAATAGGCACCCGCCACGCTTATTCCCAGAGAACTGTACATGACAGAGAGGTCAGTCAGGTGTCAATCGACTCTACAAGAAGTGGAGGTTTGCCAAAAAAAAAAGCCAAAGCATCAAATAGTTAATTTAAAATTTCCAATTACGTCCAAAATATCTCGAAATGCCTGTATATGCCTAAATATGATCTAAAACGTGCAGTGTCCTAGAATTTAGTATAACACGACGAGTTAAATCACAATAGGTAAACCGAAACTTTGTGAAAAATACTCAAATGAAGAATAAGCGTAGAATCCAAACCCTTTACAAGTGTATACCCTTCTGATCATTCTATTTCATGTCTTGGGCTGGATTCCCGATTAAAAGGTGCTAACTATCTAGATTGCCCACGATGCTCGTGGGTCTTCCTGCTAGTTTTCGCAATTATTCAATAGGTTTTCTGACGCAATTATTTTTCTTTCGATAGGTCAGAACTAAGGCGAGATTGGGCCGCATTGCTGAACGTTCCGTACGAAATTCCAGATACCATTTCTATTTTGTTCCATTGGATGCTTTGAATAATTCAATATTACTTTTAAATAAGGTTAAAATATATTATTAAGTAGCCCGGGACCGGTCTCATCACTACCATCAGAGAAAAGCTGAAACCGACAATGAGTCCGTATACGTATATAAGTACTTCGCAAGTTGTAAAAATAAAACTTTTACAGGATTCTATTTAAATACGAAGATATCGCGGAAGCTTCAATAATTCCAAATATACTGTCCTCCAAAAGTCTTGCAACACATCTTCATGATCAAAATTCTCAGCAGATGTTTATTTCTTCAGACGGCTTCATCTTTACAAAGCTCGTAACCAATTGTCGGGTAGCCTACTTCTTTTCTTGCACGCTTTAAAACTCTTGCCACTATTTTCATGGTACAAAATCTCGGTACCTATGGCACCAAGCGAGAAAATAAAATTTAATCGGATAGATTATTTTCCAAACCATATTCCTCTCGAGGCAAATTTTGGGGATATGGTAATATATATGTGATAGATACAAGCCTGTTAGTTGGCGTTTTGCTAAGAGAATGCGTTATCCGATTACATTTTTTTTTCTCTTTCTTGGCGCCATTGATACTGAGATTTTGTATCATGAATATAGAAGCAAGAGTTTTAGAGGACAATGACAGGAGTCTTTTCCTTAATATGCATAGAGAAAGCATGCTTCTCGCATGGCATGCAAGAGAGGATTAGGCTTGCCAACAATTGGTATGGGGACGGATGTCAATCGTTCTACGGTGAAAAACCGAACCATACAGATTCTGAGAAGAATTTCGGACAAACCCTGGCGCAAATCATGACACGAGTGGGCGCTTTGTAAAGATGACAGATGAAGCAGTATGAAAATGAAAATTTTCATAGATGATGCCATAGGTGCTGAGAATTTTGATCATGAAGGGTTGCAATACTTTTTGAGGGCAGTAGGGTAATTTTGGGGAATGTGGTCCTAAAAAATGAAACCTGGTCTTAACGGCCCATCAAGGTCGAATTTGACATTTACAATGTTTCTAAATATTGATTCATATCTCCTTTACTAAATCCCAGCAAGGCACATGCAATAAAACGCATGGATATTGCGCCTTAGTACTCTTTCCAAGTTGGTCCCAAGAGGTATTGGTATCACCCATATTGTTGGGGGAATATGGTCACTGTTAAAAATACAACCCAAGGTTTTTGAGGCACGTGTGAAATATGCTGGAAAATGCTGAGTACCTTGAAACACAACAAAAGGAGGCTCAGCAGTTGAAAAAAAAAACCACATTAATTGCATTGAGGACAAGCAAAGAAGTAGACATCATTACCCGTTGGGAGAGACTCAAAGACCTGTTGTGAAAAGCAGGATTGCAACGCTTTCAGGCTTTGAGTAGCATTGCACGCGATTGGGAGACTGTATCGAGAGATTTAGGGTGTAAGAGGATGAGAGCGTGGTCAACCATAGATCAAAGAGAACGTACGCTACGATTGTGAGCTAAGAGGTCTTACATTGAGGGAAAAAGTTGCATAGTTTACGCATGTAAGCATAAATAGTGTCTAAAATAAACACAGAATGACATTTTAACTTTTTGTACTAGGGATATTTACCTGCATTCAAATTTCGTGCCATGCAAATTTCTGGAGTACGTCAAGTTTGTACGTCCAGGAGGTGGTGAATGAAGATATCCTCAGACACCGCCTCCTCATTTACTGCATATTTCGTCCAATGTCCAGTACGTCTATCCATATATTCAGAGGATGTGCATAGGATGATCTTTTGTTGCCTGAGGTCCCACATGAAAGGAAGCTGACACTACCAATCGATCAGTGCGGTGCTACCATGAAATTAAGGATGTGTCCATATTGCCCAAATCGAGATGGTCATATTCCCCCATATTGACTTGCAGGACAAAATTCACAACACTGCCTGCAAACCGCAAGTGATGGGGTTAGCACTTTCCACAAGCATTCTGGAGGGACCATAGAACAACCTTGGACAAATGGTTTCTGTATTCATGCTGCTGTTAGGAAATATACGCTTGAGTTGCTCAAGGCTCATGTTAGTTTCAGGGTCATGAATTGAAGAATCGCGGGAAGAATGGCTTTCGAAACATCGCTGTATCTGGAATTCCTATGAGAACTGGATTGATGAATAGGTCCAAACATTTCGACAGTTGCATATAGTCTTCGATAGAACAATTTTTAAAATTCGCCCAAACTAATTCTTCAATCTGTTAAGGGTCAATCTGTTAATTGTGAAGGACCATATTCCCCCAAGTTACCCTATAGCTTGTCCATGCAATTCTGGCTCTTTCTCTCCTCTTCACATAGTTCCTATCACACGATGCACATATACTAGAAAACGGAAATACTAGCTGACGCAAAAGAAGTGGCAGTAGCGAAAATTTTTTTAAACTAACATCACTTAAACTATTACTTAAACTATTAGGAAAAATATGTGTGGAAAACTAATATCAAGGTTTTCACTCGACCAGACCTTGCCCTTCATTTCGAAAGAGAATCGTGGATTTCTTGAAATCCAGGGTCACAAGGACAAGGGAAGAAATTAGAGTCGGTCAGCAACATTCAGGGAGAGAGGGGTAAGAGGTGGAGGGAGAGAGGGGTAAGAGGTGGAGGGAGAGAGGGGTAAGAGGTGGAGGGAGAGAGGGGAGAGTGGTGGGAGGGAGAGAGGGGAAATTCACAAGTTTTACAACTTCCATTGGGTCTGCAGAGAAGAAATAGAAAATTGTGAGGGATTCCCTTCCACCATCATGGATATCAGATGAAGGCCTGGTCAAATGAATACATCGGACTTGCATACTTCCATGTATTTGTAGATCCAGAGGACTGCAATCGAGAGATATTCCTCACCCCGAGGCATGGAATCGAGTGTTTCGTGACGATGAAAGACTGCAATGGAGTCACAGCATTCCATCTTCAGTTCAACTATTGCCTTCAGCATTATGCAAGTCCAAGTGAAGGTCTTCGATGGAATGTCACTAGGATGAGTGAGAAATTCTGACCCTATCATAAAATCTGCCCCCTACATAGCGTAACCCAACGTAAAAAGGAATTCCAGCCTTTTCCAACCACATTACAGCAACGTCCGGTCTCAAAGCGTGAATGGACAGGGCGTGCATTTTCTTCTCGAATGTTATTGGTCCTAAAAACATAAAGTTCAAAACGTAGGCAAGAGACGGATTTAGGAGCATAAACATAAGGGGGTCGGAATTCGTCTCGCTTACCCTGTAGAAACTCTGTAGTTCTGAATTCTAAAATTCTAGAGTTTTGAAGAAATTAGGAATTAGAAACTCTTCAAAACTACATGGATTCTTTTTTTTTTTTACTTTATAGCGCAAAGCGGTAAATTGTAAAGGACGATGAAACGAGACAGGACCTGTGTCTCGTATTCCTTGAGATAGGTGGGATCGTAGTGGACCGGTTCGTAGGTGGGAACCCCAAGGCTTCCGCTCACCTTCCCCATCTTCTTCTCGTCCTGATACCTGAGATTTCGAAAGAGTAAGGAGGGATGAGGTGAGTCCGTCCGAGACGAAAGCCGAGGAACGGAAGGAAGAGACGGACTTGGACCAGAGGCAGGAGAGGTAGAGGATGCCGATGGACGTGAGGAGAAAGATGAGGGCGGCGAGGGCGAGCAGAGCGACCTGGAAGCCCTCGAGAGGGGCATGAGTCTTCCCCTGGATCCTGACCCCACCCGAAGAGGGACCGCTCGTCGTCCCCTTCAGCCCTCCCTCACGCACCTCCACCGCTTGCAGACCCAGGTTCCCGTTCACGAAATACAGCACGCTGCTCTCTGCTTTCTTCCCGCTCAGCTTCCTGCAATGCCAGGCTCGAGAGGATCATCGGCACCGCGAACACGATTGCAGCGGATGGGTTGTCCCGAGGAAAAACACCGTCACTTCCATATAGAATATGGAAGTGACGATGAAGAGACGATATGGAAGAGACGATCTATGCTTCGTATACTTAAGGGGTGTCAAACATACGGCCCACGGAGGTGGTTCATCCGGCCCGCCGTGTGTTTTAGAAATTTCTGCATGGATAGACTGTCACCACTATTTCAGTTGAAAATTATGGGTGCGGCCCGCGGGCATCTGCAGGGTAGGGAATGCGGCCCTCCGACCGATTTGAGTTTGACACGCCTGGTATACTTCATTCTCCACTCCCACCATTTTTTTTTTAAATTGAAAATAAGTTAAACTATATTGTTCCAAAATTAAACGTCGGCTTCATATGCAGCTAGTTGAAAGAAGTAACGTATTACGTTTCCTCGACCATCTCAGAAACGAGACTTTGCCGGATGTTTTTTTTTTTTTTTGCACAGAGCAGCCGAGATGCAGCGCGAGCGTGCGATTCGTTGCTTACCCTTGGACGCGGGTCGAGTTGCGAGACAGTATGACTTCGGTCTTGGGATCGATGGCGTGAAACCAGAGATCCGTGCCTTTCATGTCCACCCGCATTTTCCCGGCTTCGTCCAAGTAACGCCTGGCTTCCATCTTCTCGATCTCGATGACGAGGGAGCTCTGTTCCTCGAGGATCCCGACGAGTTGGGCCCGTCGATTCATGACTTCCTCGGGACTCGCGTTCGCGATCACCAGCACCATCTGGTTCTCATCGCGAATCACGTTCACGATCGCGAGGGTGGAAGCCTCGTGGGACGAGGGATCGCCGTCTCCCGGTTGGATCTTCCCGGAACCGTCTCGAACGAGGATTCCCAAGCGGAAGGGCAGGGACGTGCCGGATGGGATCTCCATCACGCTCCTACGAAGCCGGAGGATCCCGGTCGCTTCTTCCACGCTGAAGTATCCGTCGGGATCCGATTCCGGCTCGAAGGAATACGTCAGGCGACCGAAGTTCCCCGTGTCCCCGTCCCGAGCCTGCGCAGCGAGAAAACGTCTCTTAGCGATCGGATTTCCCTCGTCGCTCGGCGCCTCGTTCGCGAATACCATTTCGTTGCACCTCGAGAAACAAACGCATCGCGAAGCGACCCGTCGAAAAATTCACGTTTCGGGTCTCGCGCCTCCACAGTCGTGGAGGCGAGAACCCCAAGGTCGAAAGAAACGAGTCGAGGGCGGGAAAGACTAAGAAGGGGACTAGTGAAGGGCAGGAAGGACTCGAAAGGGGACGAGTGAAGGGCAGGAAGGACTCGAAAGTGGACGAGTGAAGAGTATGAAGGACTCGAAAGGGGACGAGTGAAGGGCAGGAAGGACTCGAAAGTGGACGAGTGAAGAGTATGAAGGACTCGAAAGGGGATGAGTGAAGGGCAGGTAGGACTCAAAAGGGGATGAGTGAAGGGCAGGTAGGACTCAAAAGGGGACGAGTGAAGGGTATGAAGGACTCGAAAGGGGACGAGTGAAGGGCGGGAAGAACTCAAATGGGGAAAAGATAAGGGTTCCGAACGCACCTTGACTTCGAGGACGGAAGTGCCGATGGGAGCATTTTCGGGGATGGAAGCGAAGTAACGGAATCCCCTGAGGGACATGACCGGATCCTCCGGATAGACAAACTCCGGTTCGTTGTCGTTCTGATCCAACACGTTCACCGTCAACTGACGAGGGGAAGAGGTTCATCGACATCCGTCCCGTCTCTCCCGAACCGACGCGACGGCGGAGGTCGTACTTACCTTGGCGGTCTTCTTGTCTTGGTTCAAGTAACCCGAGAGACTCTTGATCTCCACCTCCAGCTCGTATTTCGGGATCCACTCGAAATCCACGTCGGAAGTCTTGACCCGGATCTCGCAGTCCCCGTCGCTGCTCCGCGTCGCGTAGAAGTGACCTGGAAACGTATTGCGGAAATCGTCTCGATCGGCGATCGCAGAAATTCTCCCTCGAAAGAAACGCGTCGAATCGCGTCGGCAGAAAAAAGCGACACGACGGTTCTTTTCCGTCGCTCGTTTTTCCACGACTTCTTCCCATCGGTGGAGAGCCCGGCGTGTGCCTCTTCGATCGGTTCTCGAACCATCGACCGCATGCAAAAACCTCTCCGATCCGACTCCGCAGCGGTGCCAACGGTGAGATAGATGGAATATTGAGCCTGTGGGACTCGAGCGCAACCGAATACAACAGGCTCTCTAACGACCTCGGTTCACGAAGGTGAAGAAATAAAAATGGTCCCGTTGCTTCCACCCGGTAGCGTAAACGATTCGCGGTCGTGCAAGCATGGCGAATCGTTTGGGATACAAAGGTAGAGGCAAGGCACAACTGAAGATGGCCCTTTTCTGCGCGATGCGAACGCGCTATTTTGCGGAGAGGAAAAAGAGAGAAAGAGAGAGAAAGACCTCGTTCGTTGCCGGCGATAATGTGACAGTCGAGAGGAGTGCCCTGGTCTGGTTTATTGACGATGGAGAGTCTCTTGACGAGAGCATCGGGGAAAGGATTCTCGAGGACTCCCGCCTGGTACTCTGCTTCGGCGAATCCGATTCCCGCTTCGGGTGCCAACGTCACGGTCTTCTCCACGTAGACGAGGACCTTCGCCACCGCATCCAACTCCGGCTTCCCTCCGTCCCTTGCCCGCACCTCCAGCTGCAACCGTTCGAATGCCGCTAGCGACACTTCCCTTTCGCCTCCATTTCCCCCTCTGCCTCCACTTCTGTCTCTGCCTCCCGCTCCACCTCCACCCGTTCGGACTCACCCGCCATTCCGCGTCGACTTCCTTGCGGAGATCGTCCTTGATGGTGATCGTTCCGGAATCTCGGTCGATGAGGAAATACCTCGGCGTCTTGCTCCCCTCGCCCACGATCTCGTAGCTCACCTGAAAGCATCCGGACTTTTTCACCCTCTTAATTCCATACGCGATCTTCGCGGTGAGGGAAGGGTGGAATACGAGTCGGAAACCGGCACGATATGCTCCTCGAAAGAGAGCGGGGGAACGGAGTATTGTCTGCCGACGACGACCATGGTTCGGGCTTAGAGACGACGAAAGGTGATGGGACCGGGGCCATCCGTAGGTACGGAGGCTGCCCTAAGGAGCGTTCGAGTGCCCGAACTTCGTCCAACGCGAGAATCTATTTCCGAAGCCGAGTTCGCGGGAACGGAATCAGGGCCGACATTACGATGCGTCCGCGTGGAATACCACACCCCGTACCATACGCGCGCCTCCCACGTTTTGTTGCTTTTTCCGCGATCGATGGGAGGGGGAACACTCGAGGAACCTTTTCGTATTTTGGCCAAACGAACCCAGTGCGGTTCACCTTCCCACTTTTCGGGCCTTCCTCGTTTTCCTTTCGTTTCGAGACCTTCCGCCCATCTTTGCCGCCCGAGTATTCCGTTCCCACGCACGATCGCAAGACTCGAAAGACGACATCCGGGTGTAAAGAAACGATCCCTCGCGGGCTGACGTTCCAGAAATTTAAATTCCGTCTCTCCCTTCCCTCTTCTCGTCGGCGGGCGGGAGTTCGGGGCGTGGGAGCCCTCGAGACCCCGAGACCCCGTGCCCACGGCCAAGGGATCCGCTCACCTTGTTGTTCGGAGAGGTGCCGTCGGAATCTCTGGCGACGACGGTGGTCACCGTCGCACCGATGGGATCCGTGTCTCGGAGGTGCACCGGCCGCGGCAGCAGGGTGAATACCGGGGGTACGTCGTTCGCGTCCTGAAAAGCGTTTCTCGGAGTCACATCCTTCGTTCTCCTCGAGAAAGGAGTGGGTCGAGAGAGGGAGAGAGAAAGAGAGGAGAGACCTGGACGTGGACGATGACGGTGGCGGAGGCGGAAGGTTCCTTCCGGGTGTTTTCCTGCGTCCCCACCACCAACACGTGTTCCTTCTCCTTCTCGTAATCGAGTTCCTTGAAGGTGCGGATGAGACCCGTGGTGGGATCGATGGAGAAGAGATCCCCTCCGGACAGCAACTTGTAGGTCACGGTCTCCTCCACCTCGTCCGGGTCTTCGGCCTGGACCCGGATCACCTCGGCGTTCGCCCGGTTCTCCTCCACGTCGGCCGTGTAGACCCGCTGGGGAAAGAACGGCGGTTCGTCCGGGACGTCGCGGACGGAGACGGTGACGGTGGCGGTGGAGATGCGGGGATCCGGTCCGCCGTCTTCGGCCGTCACCACCACCAGGTGGAGTCTGTCCGTCTCGTAGTCCAGGGCTCGGTTCGTGTACAGGTCTCCCGTTTCTCGGTCGATCTTGAAGCCGGATTCCCGCGGCACGGAGTAGAACACGGCTCCGTTCTCTCCCGCGTCTTCGTCCCTCGCCTAAGACGATGGAATCGCACCGCGTTCGTGCGAACGTCAGATCACGACACGAATTCCGGACGAGAAGAAAAGCTTTCGAGTTGCGTCGTCGATCGAAACTTTGCTTTTTACACGTATTACTAAAAAGGCGTCGACCGGTTATTTTGTTTATAAGAAGAGAGATGGGAGGACAGACCCGGACGGTTCCGACGAAGGCATCTGCTTTCCCTTCCACGACCTGGAACTGGAAGGGGAGGTTTTGGAATTCCGGATTCTTGTCGTTGATGTCCAAAACGAGTATGTTGACCGTGGCCGTGCTCGACAACCCCGAGGGATCCTCCGCCCTCACCACCTAGCATCGCGAGTACCGTTGCACGACGCATCCACGAGACGGGACGAGAGAAACGAAAACGGGCGTCCTCACGAGTGAATATCGGGACAGGGATTCCCGGTCGAGGTCTCTGGCGACGGTGATGGATCCGGAGCGGGGATCCAGACGGAAATCCCCTCTCTCGTTCCCGCTCACGAGCCCGTAACTCACCGACTCCCTCTCCGGATCGTCAGCCTGCAGATCGCATTCCGTCTACACATCTGCCTCCGAAACATATTTTTGAAGAATACGATATCCGCTTCCTGCCTTTCGAAACCTTGCGGAAACTTCGAGAATTCCTGTTAATTTCAGCGAAACGTTTCCAAGACGATCGAGATCGACGGTCGACTATCGATCGATATCGACGGTCGATTATCGATCTCGATCGGGTTTACGGTTCGAAGGCCTCTTATATCTGGTTATTTCCACGCTCGAAAGACGAAGAAGCGACCGAGCGAGTCGAGGACGGGCAAAGACAGCCGAGAATAGAGGACGAAAAACGGACGCGAAGACTGAGGATGGTGGATCCGGGTTGGGCCCCTTCGCTGACGGAGATCTCGTAGAACTGAGTGGAGAAGTTCGGGCCTCCGGTGTTGGGGCCGGGTGAGACGAGGATCTCCACGATCGTCTGCGTCGTCCTCCCTCCTCCGTCTCGAGCCTGTTTCGTGGCGATCGAGATCGTCAAGCGAAGAAAGGGTCCGTCCGAGGGAGAAGGGACGGGAACCTACCTGGACGGTAACCGAGAATTGCTGACCGGCGGCGACGCGGTCCACGACCTGCAGGTTCCCCGTGTCCGGATCCATGCGGAACTTGTCCTTCCCGTTGTTGGAGACGTGATAGATGCTGTACGTGACGGCCGCGTTCTGGCCGGCGTCGTTATCCACCGCTTTGACCACGAGGACGTTGCGGATTTCCCTGCCGGCCTGGATGGTGACCGTGGGGTACACCGGCAGTTCCGGATCGTTGTCGTTCTCGTCCAGCAGATGGACCTTCACGGACAGGGGTTTGCTTCCTCTTCCCGTTCCCCTCTTCTCCCTCGCCACGACTTGGAAGTTGTATTCCCCGGGGTTCGGGGGATCGCGGTCCAATCCGGGATCTCGGACGACGAGGACTCCTTCCGTGTTGACGGCAAACGCCGACGTCGTCAGCTCCCACTCGTATTCCGGCTCCGAGTCTCCGGGTGCCTGCATCGCGAACGCACGTCCGTCAACGCTCTTCTGCGCGCCGAGAGTCGCGCGGAAAGAGAAGGAAAGTAAAGTTCGACATGCATTTACCGGGAGAGATCTTCCAAACGTATCCTCGTACCGATCTCGCACGTAGACCCTCGGGCTAAACGGTTGGAAGTGCTTCGACGCGAGACCGTCGGGCTACGGATCGCGACGAACGGACGGCGACTCGGCGACTCGACTGCCTCGACTGCGAGGTGAGAGGAGTCGACGATTCCCGAGTCGGACCGCAGCAGAGGGCGAATGCGTTCATCGCGATCCTACGGGTGCTCTCCGTCTCTCTGGGTTCTCGCTTCCTGCCCGTCGGGGTTCGAACGCGACGGACGACGCCCCTTAGACGGTCGCTCGAGGGCTTTCCACTTTCGAACGCGTAAACGGAAAAAGTCTCCCGGCGTCATCGTCGCTCGAGCGGAGCCGCGCGACGGGTTCCTTCGTCATCTTCCGAAAAACGCAGTCGCGGCTTCCAGACGACGTCGAACGGGGAGGAAACGCGACGAAATGCTCCTAAAATCACCCGGGACGCCGAATGGTCGATTCCTTCGCGGCAAGCACGGAAGAAACGTCCGAAACATCTTCCGTTTTCCTCATGCAGAACGCGAGATGCCAAAGAAAGCATCTTTTCCATCCTCAGAACGACCCCTTGCATCGCGTCCCGTTCGACGCGAGCAATTACGTTCTGAAGAACTTTCTGTTTCTCGATACGATCGAAACGAAACGTAGGGAATCACCGAAATGCAAGAATTAAGGAAACGAGGAACGATCGCTAAGTATTGCACGCAGGGATGCATCGAAAGGACCGCACCTCGCACGAGGAAGTCATTCGATACCTTTATACCTTATATGCATGTGCTTCCAAGAGATATTCGGACCGGTCGGTCACCGAACTCGACTCGCCCCACCCGAAAACCTCGACCTGTCATTTCGTCCCTCTTGTCCCATGCAACGAGGTCCCACTTCGTCCTCTGTCGGCTCCCTTCTCCGACCTCATCCATCGGTTCTTTTCTTTGACGGCAGAATGCGCTTTTTCGTAAACGGAACGAACGCATACGAGGGTCACGGGTATTCGTGGAATCGATCTCGTCGTGCGCATCTTCGCTAGAGAGGACGACGGGCTTACGGTAGTTGCCGCGATTCGGATCGGACTACATCTCCGAGCGACTCACGTGGTCCCGGTCGACGACGCTGAAGAGGATGGGCTGCCGCAGGGCATCGGGAAGAGAAGAATCCATGATCACCGTACCGACGGGTGAATTCTCCCTCACGTAGCCGACCGACGACGTGGCGCGGATCTCGGGAGGATGCACGTCCACCTCCCCCACTTCGATCGTCAGCTTCGCCGTCGCGAATCTCCTCGTCTCGCTCTCCTCCTCCGCCTTGCATCACGTCGAGGCGTCAGGGACCGAAGCGAGACCGCTTCGCGAGACGGAGGGACTCGACTCACCTTCACGATCAGGTCGAATCGCTTGGCTCGGCTACGATCCGCGGCTGCCAGCTGAGTCACGTGTCCCGTTCTCGGGTCGATGCGGAAAAAATCCCGAAAGAATCCGGGCGATCCCCTCAAGAAAGAGTAACGGATCGGAGTCCTGAGCGAATCCATGTCTTCCGCCCGGATGTCTTCGGGTTTCACGTTCAACACTCCGGACAGCTCCCCGCTCTTCACCTGCATTTACGAGCATATCTCGTTGGCGTATGCATCACATACATGCAAACGTTGCAGCATTCCTACGCGTTTCGCATTCCCCGAACCCTGGGGTCGTCGGATCTAGCCGGCTCTTCGTTAACGAGGGGGATGGGAGGTGAGACGGGGGGAATGTCCCCCCGTCTCACCTCCCGAATTTGCCCGACCGTAGGCAGTGGTGTCCTTAGCATCGGCAAAACGAGTGGATGATAGCATGTACAGTAAATATGTATGTAGTAAATGGAATTGCTTCGAAAGGGGAGGAACAGAGGTGACGGAAACGGACGAATCGTCGAGGAACCGAGCGCAGTCGACCTCGCTTCGCCCGTCTTGCCGCTCGACGGTTTGATTCTTTCGTTGGTCTTTTTCGACCCCAGGGTCGAAGGAATGCACCGCGACGGTAACGACGACGGTGTCGCGATCGACGGAACGGCGGAGGCGTACGGTCGCTTGGTACTCGGGATTCACGCAGGCGGATCCGACTTGGGTGCATCCTCGATACTTGAAAGTCGGTTCCATGTCGTCGCTGTCTTCCACGTGCACCGTCAGCGTCGTCGTCGACGTGTACCTCTCCTCCGGCTCTTTGGCTCGGTCCTACGACCCGTGCGAAAAAAAGCGGGTCACGACGATGCGGTCGAGCGACAGAAGAGAGGAGAGAGAAGAGACGAGATCACCATGGCGACGACGGTGACGTAATAGGTGGAAGCGGACTCGTAGTCCAGGGAACGATTGACGGTGAGATGACCCTGATGGGGAAGGTTGATGGAAAAGACTCCGTATCCGTCTTGGCCTCCTCCTTTTCCTTCTCCCTTCACCACCATGTACTCCACCATCCCGTTCACGCCTTCGATTCCACGGATTCGAGAACGTCACGAGTTCGTTCTCGCGATCGCAGGCTCGAGCAAAGAGGGAACGGAACGGACTCACCTGCATCCAAGTCTTTGGCCTTGATGTCCCGAAATACCGTCGTCCCTACCGGAGACAGCTAAAAAAATAAACGAATAAAATGAATAAAAAATTCGTTCTGCAAGTTGCTTATTGCGTAAATGATGGGGAGGAGGAGTTGCGAAAGACTCTGCAATCACTGCAGTCGTGATAAGATATAATGAAGCCGGACCGACGGAAGAGTGACGACTGTGAGAAAGCATTGTTTTAACAGACTCCACGGTCTGGACCTATTCTGCTGAGTGAGAGACTGCAACCGCAGAATAATCCGCTCAAGCTCCCACACTTTAAAGCATTTTTTTTTTAAGGATTAGTTTTGCGTTGGCTACACATTCTCGTATTTTTTTTTAAAATCATTTTCATAGGCTGTACTGAACCCATTCACTTTATTTGTAGGTCGATATCGTCTCACTCTGATTAATTTAGATGAATTTTATCGTGTGTCGGCAATATACATTTTTGGCTCGCATAAAGATTCGAGCGTTTCGTTCGCGGTTCCACGTTACCTCGGAGACGGACGCAGAATAGGGCGTTCCGACGAACACGGGCTTGTTATCGTTGATGTCCGCCACCCGAACGATGACGGGGATGTTTCGCCTTTCTCCCGACGAAAGGACCGTGCAGCTGATCTACATGGGGGACAATGCGAAAACGTCGTAGGAGATGCGATACGAGCGCGTACGAGGGTGTGGGACGGGGAGCATCATGGAATTTCACGGGAGCGTGAAGAGAAAGAATGAGGGTGGGATTCCTTCGCGACGACAGAAGCAACATCGACCTGGAAAACGAGGGAAGTGACATCCTGAGGATCCCGATCCAAGGGCATGTGGAGTTGAAGCCTCTTTCCGTAGAGGACGAAATAGTGGCCTCCTCCTCTCCCTCCCTGACCGCTTCGTGGGTCCAAAATTTCCAGGCTGATCTCCTCCCCGGGCGTCCCACGGATCGGCAGATCCCCGGGGATCGTCCTCTGCGTCACCTCTGAGGGCACGCACGGAAACAAAAACGCAATATGAGAAATACGGAAAGAGAGATGCGATGCGAGAAACTCCACGAACCGGTATCGGCCTCCTTCCCGAATCGCTACGAGCAATTCCGGATAAACCGCCCGGTTCCTAACCGCTTCCTCCCGGTCGGAGTCGCCGAGTCGGCAGAGTCCGAATTCGTCGTTAAAAAAATCTCATATTCGACTTAGGCTCGCAGACGCAACTGCAGTTCGTGCCGCGCCCGCTCGGCGTGCCTGCATCCCGAATTTCGAGTCGTCGCTGCAGGCTAATTGAAAGAAGCCATATCCCGTGTTGGGACGGGAATGGTATTGCCAACGACTGGGGGTCCGAACACTGACCCTTCACTCGGGGAGTGATCGTAAGACGACCCATCCGACGACGGTATGGTATTACCGGTTTGACGACCGGCAAATTAAAGGAAACGGTTCTTCCCACTCCGTACGCTTGTGGAGCACGACTGGATGAACTAATTTAGGGCATTCCCAAAAACACAATTGGACTCATTTGTGCAGGCACACTCACCCAATTATTTACTTGGTGCCTACATGGCGGCAGGTAACTCGAGATTTTACCAAGGCATTCTTTTTCTTTTCATTTATTCTTATTTTACATAATTACATTTATATTTATATTTATTATAATAAATATTTTTTTAAATGATATTTTCATAAAACATAATATGATGAAATAGGACACGAAAATCATCTTACCGTTGCCTCGACTCTCACGTATATCTAAGATGATGACGGATCTCCCGGTTTCCACGTGACATACTGTAAAAAGAGGGAAAATGCACGATTCCATGCACGATGAAGCATGGGAATGGAGCCGTGGAGGCGAAACCCTTGCGAAACGAGGACTCACGTTGAGCGCGGACGGCGTGGAAGAAACCCAGGAGGATAACGAGGCCGATCCCACTCATGATGTCGCGGGAAAAGACGCCACGCTACGCGGGATTCACGGCTGCGAGATGCACGAACGCGATTTCGTACGGGCAGGGAGGACGCTATTGCAACATGGCGGAGAACAACAAAGAATGAATGGAGGGTGGAGGTGCGCGGATGCACGGGAAGGGACGGTCGAGGACGACGAGGGATTCACCGTTATGCACGAACCGATGAGCCGTGGTGCATCGACCTCGGTGTTGCACGAGGAGCCTCCTCGCGAAGGTCCGGAGCAGACGCCAGGTCCGTGTTCGTCCGTGGCCACAGGGAAGGGAATAACCCGGAAAGCGAAGAGCACAGCGATGGTTCTAGCCTCGGGGGAAGTCTCTACAGCGAACGAGCGAGCTCTCCGCTCTCTCACGCAGTACGCTGAGGCTCACGATCACCCTTACCTGCCATACGGGCGTTTAAGTCTCCGCCTCGTGACTCTCCCCTCGACCCTCGCCCGACGGGACTCTTTTTTTCCGGCCGTTCGCGGTTCCCAAGGTGAAGCCATGACGAAGCGCATCTTCCTCTCGATCGAAAATCTCGCAATTCTTCTGACTCAGATATCCGTGACGATACGAATTCCGATGGTAATGATTTTCTTTTCCATCTGCGACCTCCGAAGGACTGAAATCGAGCGATTCCTTGTCGGATGCCAGACGAGACGAAACGAGACGCGGACGAGAAGGAGATCTCGGGAATCGGGTCGGGGTCGACGCCTGTCATACGTGACGGAATGTGCATTCGGAAATGGACCTACGCCCACGGCAATCCGGCGATCCTTTTCTCGCGTGGACGCTAGCGACACCTCCCGGTGATCCGTCCGCTTCCTGAGCTCCAACGAACCCACGTAGATGTCGCTAGCGACCACGACTGCTTCACTCGCGAGACCGACTTGCAATCGGAAGTAAGTGGTACGAAGTAATGCTGCCGTCGCGGATCTCTCTGGCACATTCGATGCCCTCTGCAGATCTGCAGGGCCCTCTGAGGAACCCGAGTTTCACGAGATGCCATTCGGAGCGTTTCGACATCTCGGAGTACTCCATGGGTCCGCACGAATCTCGGTTCGTGCGGGTATCTCAATCGAGGAATCGAGCGTCTGCAAATATGGAGTGAACGCATGAACGAAGATGGAAGTCGTGGGCCTCCCCACTGGCCTCACAGGTGGGGGGCCCAACTGTGTCGCAGGTGGGGAAAATCACCTCCCCCCCCCCCTTTGAGAGAGAGAGGGGGGGCCCCTCTCTCTCTCAAAACGACTTCTGTCGTTTTCAATCGCTATCATCTCCATTTTCTGTACATATCCCCACGGCCGTTCGCGGAGGCGGTCGGAGTAGGGTGACCAGATCGTCCCGGTAAAACCGGGACAGGCAGTTTTCTCTGGAACAGCCCCTGGTTTTGAGGTACTGCCCTGCTCGGAAAACTATCCAGCGATTTTTCCTTTCAGTGTCACTCGTTTGGGGTAAGCAGCTCATCGGCCGTAAACGAAGGGAAAATGTCTAGGATTTTCCTTTTAAAAAATATGGTCACCCTAGGTCGGAGGGGTCGAGGTCTGCCGACCTGGCTCGTCGTTTCTTCCGGATCTCGCGACCGAATCGGTTCGGGAGGAGGAATCTCGAGGACGGATGGGGTCGAATGCGATGCGCACCGAATCGCTGCCGAGGGGTCGCGATCATCCGACGCTGCGAGAGAAACCAGTAACGGGACTCGCGAGCGAAGAGGACTCGAAGACGTGCCACGTTTGGCTACGAATACCGAATACCGGTTGCACCGTCGGAACGTTGCCAGACAGGAGAGCAAAACGTTCGGGCCGTCTCGACAGAGACTCCAAGGTCTTCCTCCCGTTCCGTGCCTTACCCAAAATTTCGCGGATGGAGACGAAACTCGCACGAATAAATAGTACTAAAACGTTAAAACTAACCTATAGGGAAAATAGTAGCCCGAATGCTGACGTCATCGCCTTTCTTCGTGCGCAGGCAATACGTACCCTCTCTTGTCTCCACGATACGACGGCGACGAAGGGAGAGAGATGGAGACGCGTCGGATCATTCTCACCCCCCTCCTCCCCTCCCCTCTTTTCCCCCTTTCTCTCCTTCCCCCTTTTTTCCATCTTCCCCTTCTTTCTCCCTCTCCGGTGGAAACAAGGACAGGAGTATTGATTTTTTGGGACGTATGAATCGCATGTTCGAAGGCTTCACCGTCAGAAGCATACGGAACCCCATCCTTTCGCAAACGAAGGAAGCAGGTGAAGGAATTCCAGGCTTCCTAGATGGCCTTCTGGGATGGCTTCCGAAAAATCTCCTTCACCATCTAAGATGGACATTTGGATAGATACCTTTTCGGAACTTGGAGGCGACCACCATTTCGAATCCCGATCTCGTCTCTGTCTCTCTCCCTCTCCTTTCTCTTTCGAACGACTCGTAATAAGATGTGTGTCGCTCGTACGAACCCCACCGCTCGAAATTCCGAAACTTGCGGCGAAGACCTCCCTTAGCCATTTCTCTGATTTTTTAAAATCTTGCTGCCGCCATCTGAGATGCCGGGTCGAACTCACGCGGATCAGGTCCAAATTTTCGGAACGATTTTTACCAACGGTACAAGTGCAGCCATACGGATACACGACGAGAGTCGTGGGAGCTGCCGAAGGCGCTGATCGATCTCTCCGTTTTGCTCTTCCGGTCTTCGACCGTGAACGAATTTATGGAGTCGCGGCGACAAAACGAACCTAGTCGAGATGCCATCCGGGATTCGTGATTCCGACCTCGCTTATTTCCTCCTGCCGACGCGACGACGTGTGTTCCGCTCGGAGTCGCATCAAGAAGCTCGTCGGGTGAAGATCGCGCTATCCGTCGCGTTCCAAAGGCCGGCAGAGGGGCGTTCGTCCATCGAAATCGTCGGACGATCCCGGGATTTAAGGCTTGGGGAATTTCGTTCCTCGGAAACGTATCATCATCGTTGATTGGATTTAGAATTAGGTGGTTCTAACGAAAACGTTAGATCGGACTCGACTCTTGGATCGAGGAAGGAGCAGGACGTATGCAAGCTTACGTCCTCGTCCGGACGGAACGTTTGTCGCGGGAATCATGAAAATTAGGCTTTTAGTACAAGTCGAATTCCCTCCGCCACAGTTGTCGGTGTCGTGATGAATTTTCGTCGGACGGACGAGTGACTTCGTTTCGTATCGGTGCCCGAATCTTCCGTTCGTGTTGCACGATACGTTTTCGTGCCGAGTTCGTGGGATTAGGTGAGACGGAAAGAGCGATGAGCGGTGGCCGATGGACTCGGTGCATCGCCGAATCGCTGCCCGTGGGCATCCCTGCCCGTGATCCATGGCGTATTTATTTGGAGCTCGGAGGCGCGAGAAGTCCCGGTCTATCCGCAGACGTTCGAGACGAGACGGTTCCGGGAACTCCGCTTAGGCCATCGTAGGCCTAACGTCCCCGAAACTTCTGGAAAACCTCGAGATGGATCGACGGATCGTTTGCGTGCCGTCGTGAGTCGTGGGTTCTGATCCGAAAAGGTAGGCCTACATCCGACACGAGGACGGTCCCTTAGCCGGGCCCGAGCCTAATTCCCCGTCTGTTCTCTTCCCGATCGAATGCTCTATCGATTTCGGCCGTTCGTCGACTTAGACACTGCCATGATGGCCGGAAGGAAAGGGGTGAAGAAAAGGGAAAACTTAAAAGAAAAAAAGCTTCCGCATCACTACGTGTCCTGTGTCGACGTAGGAGACTCGGAAGAGTGCAACGAGATTGCATTTCCTCGTTCTCGACGAGAAACCTCAGAATTTTCTATTCATGCGGTGATCGCAAAGTTCTCGCAGAAGAGAAAAACACCCTTAAAGAGAAATGCTAATCGTGGAGCGGCAGCGTCGGGGGGAAGGGGGGGCAAGGGGGGGAACGTGCCCCCCCTCCTTCCCCCTCCCCCTTTTTTCCATCCACGCAACGCTTATGTGGAGCGGCCGTACGAGTTCTTGCGACGGGTCGTTCCGGCTCGTCACGTTGGGTGACGAGATGGAGCGGAAGGCCGGCAGCAAGAGCCAAAAAGTCTCGAAAATGGAAGAGAGACGAGAGATCCGGGTCCACGCCGTCGTGGATCGACCGAGGAACTAAAGGGTCGATGGACGTCGACCGAGAGTCAAAAAGCTCTCGGGACCGAACGAAGAATACGAGCGGTCGTGGTGCAAAACGATTCCACGGACCGATACGGACTCGGACGACCCGAATGCGTTCCATTCCGGACGAGAAGAGAACGATCGAGCCGACCATCGCAATTTCTCTCGTCGAACGGTCGTCGGAGACTACGGAAACGGACGCCTTAGCGGAGAGCGGCGAACGTCTTTCCCCTCCCCGAAGGAACCGAAACGCGCCCGGTGGAAATCGCTTTGCCGTCCCTCGAACGTCTCGGTTTCGACCGACGTTCGAAGGGCACGATCGGACACCGGCCGATCCACCGACGCGAAGCAACCGAGTGAGAACGTCGGCAGCGCGCTCTCGTCGTTTTCGGTGGGACTGCAAAAAGGTGACTATTCGAGGTTCGCCTTCCCGTCGGTCGTAGCGGCGCGTTCCATCCCACCGCCGTCGCAGAGAAACCGCAGAAACATCTACTTTCCATCGCAGATACGAGCACTGCGACCTTCGATCGATGGAGGGAAACCGTTTGATATGTAAAAGCGTGCTGATTGTCGTGAGGATGTGCGATCGGGATCGTTGCGAGAAACATAAAAGATTCCTCGCTCGCGTTCAAAGATCGGTCGACGAGGAATCCCCCAGCCTCAAAGTCTTCTATTCCATATAGGGAATAGAAGACTTTGAGTACTGCACTAGTAAACGTAATCTATAGATTACGTTTACAGTGCAGAAAATGACCATCCTTTAAAAAGTTTTATTTTTTTCTTGCACTTAACTGAATGGATAGTAGCGTACGAAGCACGACAAAATTGACAGATGATCTGGTGCAGTGACGTGCACGTACAGGGCTTTTACGCCAGCAGCCATGAGCTCTGAGATTATCGAGGGCAACTTGATCCAGATTTTGCCACAGATCTGTGAGGTTCGTTTTCGGTTGCTGGACGTCGGTGGGCAATTGCTGTGTTGCACGCAGCTGTCGGTGAAGATACTCCCACAAGTGTTCGATGGGATTCGTGTCGGATTCGGTTCGTGCCAGTCTTGCGTGTAACCAGCCGTTGCGTCCGTGGGGTCGATGACGGCAGGCGTCCAGACTGTTGTTGGGCGGTGGTGCTGTTGCACCGATGACGCAGCACGATGATGGCCTATCCCTCGTCATCTCCCTCTCTCTCGGCCCACACTCGGAACGTCGAATCACGCATCCTCGTGTGCTCGACATCGCTTCCGCCAGCTGTCCTTTACATGTCGGATGTTCAGTTCGGCCCTTGCTAGATAATGTGATCATTTGAATACTTCTGGCCGCTAGGAATCTGTGGGTGTGAAGGACAAAT